AAATTATAAAATTTTTCCATGCTCCAAAATTTATTCTAAAAAGTACTATTGGTTTTTTTATAATAACTCGGTTAATTTTGATGCTACAACATGCATAAAAAACGATTTTACAGGTAATTTAACGAGCTATAAGTATAAGAATGTTAAAACATTCCAAAGTCCTTCATGTTTAAAGGGTGAAGGGTCAAAGTGTCGGAGACCAGTGGTTCATGCGCTATAAAGCAAATTTCAACCAACTATATCTCCGTAAGCTACAAAAAAAATTAAAAAATGAAAATTTTTTGTTGAAAAAAAAAACCTATTTTTTGTATTGTGTCATCTTTTACGTATCTTTTATAGTTTTGAAGTTATTATAAAAAAAAGGTTTTTTTTTAATATTTACAAAAGATCAAAAAGATCAAAAAGTATGATATGTAATCATACTTTTTCAAAAACTGGGTATTCTAAAGTGGCTAAACTTTTGGATCATACAAAAAACACTAAAATAAAGTGAATTCTATAAGGAAAACAATTTATTTCAATCCTAGTGAACATAACCTTAGTTTTATTGTGGTTTTTTTTACAAAAATTTGATAAACCCATCGTTTTTTTGATCGTATCTCACGTACAGTAGGTACAAAGGACTTTTACCACCACTCATTTTAAAGGTCTTTTCAAGCTCTTTTAAAAATATCATATGAGTTTTTGTCGAAAAGTGTACCCGTTTTCCGTTATTTAACGTTAAGTACTCGTATTGAAAGACAAAAACAAAAACAAACCTTTGAACAGCCATAACTCAGTTAATATTGAACTGAAAATATTCATTAGAAAGCCAATCATTTTGTTTTTTTATGAGCTTTAATTTTAGTTGATACACTTTTTTTGATAAAACTCTTAGTTTTAGAGCTATTCTTAAAAAACCTTTAAATAACATGTTTTTATTTAACGAAAAATGACACTTTTCAACAGCGAATAACTCAAAAAGTATTGATCTAGCGAAAAAATGTTTACTACAGTTTTTGTTTAAAATTTGTTCTTCTATTGAATAGCGTGTTTATTTTGAGTAAAAAAATTTCCACCCTCGAAAAGGAGTGGCAAACACCTCCAGGGTGGAAGCGCATATCGGCACTATATAACTTTTGTTCCTTGAGTAATTATTTACCAACACACAAAATTTCAAATGAATCGATTCAGTTATAAAGAATTCGGAGGTAAAAACCCTCAGTAACAGACTAGAAGCTCTAGGTGCACACTGTAACTTTAAAAATAATCTGAATTTCTTGAAAGACATTAATAAGTACCACAATATTTAATAATAAACCAAATTGTAATACAGTAATTGTACCTAATGTAATCCATTAATTTTTCGCTAATGGCCATTTGGTCGATGTGATTTTCTAAATAAAAAAAAACATTTGAAACATTTAGTATGGTAAATTAAATAATAAGAAGAAATACTACAGAATAGCTTTCAATACGGTTAAAACCATAATCTTATATCTACATGATTAAATCATGGATATTTAATTTATGTATGCGGTGTCATTCCCATAAGAGATTTGATATCTAAAATATACGTTTATCTTTTTAAATAAAAATTAAATAAAGCAATAAAATCCTAATATCATTAAACCCATACACCACGACCTGTTTTTTTTTTTTGTCGATTTGGGCGAGATTATGTAAAATCGTATAAAAATTCGTTTTGATCCGGAATCGTTCTAAAATTAAACCAAATCAAGCAATTAATTACGCATACTGGAATACTAATCTAATATCGGATCCCTATTAATTTATGAACAAGTTAAAATAATTTATATTGACAAATCACGAAGAAAATTATATAAAAAGGAATATTCTGAAGATGATAATATCATTCCCATCAGTGTCTCCGTGTGAAGATTAAATACGAGAACATGAAGACGATCTTGGTAAATTTATTTATAAATTCTATTTCTTCTATATTAAACGTTATATTTTGGATTTAAATATTCTACTCGATTTTATGGCATATTTGAACTTCTTTTAAATTTAATTATATTTACAAAATAACTGACATTGTATTATAATAATTACGCCATTTGAGCCTATTTTCATTTTTTTTTAGTGTTTTATTGTTCAACAAACAATTTAAACACTGTAAATGGCATTTTAATATCTACTTTGTCTCAGTTTATCGTCTTTTAGGTTACAAAATAATAGTCTTAAAAGAGTATTTAATATAATTTATTCTTCTTCCTTCTTGTATGTAGGCTTTAAAGCTTGTTTCTTCTTCAATATTAGCCTCCTAATTGTTTAAATTGTCGTACCATCTTTATCTTAGTCTGCCAATACCCCATCGTCCATTTGGTGACTTATCTCGTGCTATTCGTACTATTCTGTCCTCTGCCATTCTACTAATGTGTTCGTTTGTTTCCGTTTTTTTAGCCATCCATTTATGTCTTCTATATTGTATGCTCTTCCTATGTTTTCTCTTCTCTCCCTATCCCACAGACTTTCCCCTGATATTAGTCGGAGTATTTTCATCTCTGTTGTTTCTAGTAGTCGTCTCGTTTTAGCTGTATCAAGTCGTGTCTCCGCCGTGTAATATGGGTCTAATTGCTGCTTTATAGATTCTTGTTTTTGTGTCTTGTCTTAGATGTTTGTTCTTCCAGATTGTGTCATTAAGAGATCCCTCCGCTCTACTTGCTTTTAAGCTTTGTTGTCGTACTTCTTCTTCAACATCTCCGTAACTAGTTATATCTATTCAAAGATATCTAAACTTTGCTTCCTGCTTTATTGTCTTCCCATCAATTTCGATTTTACATTGTAGTGGGTATTTAGATGTTGTCGTATATTTGGTTTTTTCTGCTAATATTATCATATTGTATTTCTTGGCTGTTGTATTGAAGATATATGTTAATCTTTGGAGTTCGTCTTCTGTTTCGGCAATTAATGCGGCGTCGTCTGCATAACATAATATTTGGATTCCTTTGTTCCCCATTATGTTCGTACTTATGAAGTAGATGTTTTCGATGGTTTGTATAATAATATTGATTGGTATGTTTCTTTAATACAATAAAAGTCTTTGTCAGGTCTATAAAACATAGATATGCTGGTTTATTGTACTTGATGGCCTTTTCTGTGATTCGTCTTAGTACAAATACGGCGTCCACGCAGGATCTTCCGGATCTGAATCCTTGTTGTTCATCTGATAAAGTTGTTAGTTTATTAATTTTGTTGGATAGGACTTTTGTGCTGAGCGTAAGTGCGATGTTCAGTAGATTTATACCTCTATAATTGTTGGGATCTTCTGTATCTGCTTTCTTGAACATTGGTATCATTCTGCCGTTTCTCCATGCATCTAGTATCTTGCAGTGCAATATTAGTTTTTGTATAAGTTTTGTCATCTCTAGGGTTATACTTTCTCCTATTTGTTTTAGAAGTTCGTTGGTTATGTCGTCTGGTTCTAGTGACTTTATATTTTTGAGTGAATTTATGGCTATTTCTACTTCCTGAAAACTGATTTCTATATCGTGTCATAATTCAGGTACGTTATTGTGTTGATTATTATTTTCCTTTACTTTAAACAGTTCCGTCAGGTATCTTTCCCATTCGTTTGCTAGTACGTTATTGTATTCCTTCAATTCTGGCATTTCTTTTCCGTTAGTTTCTTTTAAATCTCCATATTTGTTTTTGTGTACCGTAGAATTCGCTTTGCTTTCCATCCTTTTTGTAAACTGTTCCCAGTGTCCATTTTTTGTTCTTCTTAACAACTGCTTTATTTATAATATAATATAATTTAATTTTCATAACTTATTCCATTAATATAACTTTCAAGGTATTTGGCGAAATACGAATTAATTATTGTTTTTTCCATATCAATTTATTCCAATTCCTAATACTATTATGATTGATCAGGAATACTAACTTTGTTCGAGTTCTAAATACCACTTATTTTCATATTACACATTTATAAGATACATACAAATATTTCTGAAAAGTATAAATTCGGTTTATTTTCTTTTTTTTTTTTTGTACAACGATTTCTTATATTTTTCTTTATTCACGTTATGCTTTTATCAACAAGTAGTTATTTTTAACTGTTAATTTTGATAATAGAGGTTTGATCACTATTATCAACTGTCTTAAATAAGTTCTTCTTCTTCTTAGGGTGCCTGCAAATAACTTGATCCCTCTAGATCTCTCTGTTGTGTTTATCCTTCCTCACTATTCAAATAGTCTTTCAAATGAGCTGGATTTTTTTAATATTGCAGATTATATAATAATATATTAGCACTTGGAGCCGAGAAGACTCATGGCTTTTTTTACAATTCTCCTCCATTTTTATTTGTTCTTCGCTTTTTGTTTCTACTTGCTTATATTGAGATAGGTCAGGTCGTCATTAACTTTATGACTCCATTTGGTCCTATGCGCTTCTTTTCTCTTTTTACAACTTATTGTAGCAGTTAATAAAATTTTTGGCATTCTAACTCGGATCATTCTTTAGATATGTCCTAACCATCTAAATCTTTGTGCTCTTGCTACTGCAATTAGATGAGACTCCTTATATAATTCTTCTTACTCTTTGTTTATTCTTCGTGTCCACTGATTGTTTATCAATTTTTCGCCAAATATCGTTCGAAATATTTTTCTTTCCATTTTTGTAGAAAAAGCTATTCATCTAATAAAGATTGTTATGAGAAAAGTATTTCACCCCTTGCATTCCTACCCGGATTTCCGAAATTGCCCAGCGGTATTTCCGATGCATCTAACCGTCTTCAAATTTTTGCGTTGAAGTCACCACCTATGAGAGTGTAGTTAACAATGTTCTCTGTTCTTCCTTCCTCTAGAAGGAATTATCCTACCTCTTCGTCACGATGGGTTGATGTTAGTGCGAAGACTTTTATGAATCATAGACTTGTATGAAGGTAACGGTACATCTTTTGTTTGACTGTATAGTAAAACTGTAATTAATTTTTTTTTGTTTGAGTGCATAGTTAGAATGAACGATAGGCCACTAGTTTTTTTAAATACTTATGATGGGTCTTTGTACCCGAGGACCTGTAAGTCCTTGCTCTCCCGTTAAAAACTTAAATTTTTTCTCATTTACTATAATGGTTTCCAATTTACTATAATTTTACGGCCCTGGCACAATAATCTCACTCTCCAGCGTTGCTAACACTGCGATGCGTTTGTAAATCCGTCGATCCCCCTGGGCTAGTGTGGATCGACACTAGCTACTGATACAGGGTTAAGGACGCAATTGGTGCCGGAACAATCCGCAAGGATGTCTATAAAAGGATGTCTCAGAAATGCCATACGATATTATCGCTATTATTCATTGGTTTTTACATTTAATCTTTTAGTTTAGAATGTGTATGTAAATATTTTTAATTATAGCAAAGTATTCCGTTGTTTCTTCGCAAAATATTTAACCAAAATAGTTTTTTTTTAAATAAGATTGAAATATTTTTAAATGACAGCCAAGTAAATAAAACAGCATTGTTTGTTTCTTTATTTTAAAGTTTTGCTGTCATCATAGCTATTTAAATTTTGACAAACTAGTTGATTGCAGTTGCTCAAATCGCTCTCTTTTTATAAACTTAACTAAACTTTTTTGCTCACAATCTCTCCTTGAATTGTATTTTTCAACAGTTTATATTTTTTTCTTCTCATAACATGTTCAAAGTGTCCTAGATTTAGATTTTTGATGGTAACTAGTGAAGGTCTTTCATTTTTATTGATATAAGTACCTACTTTTAAATTTGACATTATATCCACCTGGGATATTTTTTAAAAGCTTTTATCTTATTGGAACAATATACTCATTTTTCAAGTATATCATGCAGAAAAAAAAATATAGGTAACATTTTACTAGTCATTCTTTTAGTTATAGTTTCAGTTGTTGTAGTAGTCATAAGTTCGGTGAATACTACTTCAGTAGTACTAACTCCTTTTGTCATAAAATAATTGAAAGTCTAATAAATATGTATAAGTGCTTATATTTATTTCTTTTAGGTTTTGTCTTGTGTGATATTGGCAGTTATTGCTGTCGAACCATCAAAGAAGACTACAGAAAAAGAAAAACGTCAAATTGGTGATAACTTGTTCTATTACAATGCTTTGCCACAAGCCTACAACAAAGCTTCACTTGTTGACCATTCTGCTCTCCTTGATACCTCAGCTCAATACTACAACACACCTCTAGTCAAGCCAGAAGTATCTCAACATACCGTTCATCATGTCATTGATAAAGTTCCAATTCCTCAGTACTACAGCACTCCTCTAGTCAAGTCAGAAGCAACTCAATATACCGTCCAAAATGCCGTTGATCAATTTCCAGTTGCTCAGTACTACAGCACTCCTCTAGTGAAACCAGAAGTAACTCAACATACCGTCCACAATGTCATCAATAAAGTTCCAGTTGCTATTCCACAACCCGTTCCAGTACCAATTACAAAAACCGTCAAAGTAGCCCAACCCTACCCAGTCCACGTCGAAAAACCTCTACCCGTTCAAGTTAGAGTAAATGTACCATATCCAGTAGACAAACCTTATCCAGTTCATGTACCCCATCAAGTCCCTTACCAAGTTAGGGTAAAAGTACCATATGCAGTAGAAAAACCCTACCCTGTAACAATCACCAAGACTGTACCTGTAGCCGTTGAAAAACCTGTTTATGTGAAGGTTCCCGAAATCGTGAAAGTACCAGTTGAACAGCCTTATCCAGTTGCCGTTCAACGTAAAGTAGCTGTTACTGTACCTGAACCAGTAGTAGTTAAAGTACCTGAACTCATTAACGTACGCCATAATATCTACAAACAACCTGTTATTCAACAACAAGAAATTGAACAAATTACCTTGCCAGTATATAATCAACAAGTTCACGGTCAAGAATACAGAGTATCTGGTCTTCAACCCTCAGAATATATCTCAGCTGACTCGCTTCCAAGTCTGCAAACTCTTCCATATTCCTTTGGTCAAAATCAAAACAACATGTACCAGATGAACCACATGAACCAAATGAACTACATGAATCATATGAGTCACATGAACTTTGCCTCCAACTACGGATCTTATGGTATGCATAACATAGTCTCCCGTGATGCGAAGAAGGAGAACCAAAAACATTAGTGTTGATATTCAACATAATATGTATTTAGCTTTTTTTAATAAATAGTTTCAAAATCAAGGTTTTGTTTATTCATATTTTTTGTTTAATACAAGCTAAAGGTTTATCACTCGCTATTTTTATAAAAATGGGAGTAGCCTTAATGAGTCATGTCTTGAAATTGTTTTTAAAAGTAATTCACAATAGAATACATAAGAAATTAGATGAAGGCATAAGTAATACACAAATGGGATTTAGGAAAGGACTGGGAACACGAGATGCACTGTTTGCAGTAAGTGTTCTTTCGCAGAGATGCTTAGATATTAATCAGGAAGTATATGTCTGTTTCATTGATTTTGAGAAGGCATTTGACAGAGTGCAGCATAATCGGCTTAAAGAAATTTTATTGAATAAAAACATAGACATTAGAGACATTAGAATCATCTGTAACCTCTATTGGAACCGCAAAAGTGAAAGTTGAAAACGAACTAACCGAGGATATCCAGATTCGCCGTGGGGTCCAAAAAACTCATTGTGCCCAAGACTATGATGTAGTGCAATAAAGTCCTTCCCCCCTTTTAAATGCAATGTTTGTTTCGTACCTTCTAAGTGTTTTATGTTTTAGTGTGTTTAAATAATCCTTAATTGTCTGTATTTTAACATTTTATTTACTTGGCTATTCCAATAATTAACTCATTGCCAATAGAACTTTATCAAAGTAATTTGATAACTACAAGTTGTGAAAATAATTGCACACCCACACAATCTTTACATCTACACCTATTCATTGTCATAAAACTGTCACCTTCAAAAAAACAATTACTCAATAAATAACACACATTTCAAAAATATATCTCTGTAATAGGTATAAATAGCCTTTAATAACACAATAGTATATTACATCACTTACATTTAACAAACAATCTCACACATATCTCTAATTCATTGGATCAAATCTATCTCCTCAAGAACTTCCCGTTTACTGTCAAACAACTGCAGTGATAGAATTGAGTTCTCCATTCAACAATATAAAGTAGTTTCAACCATGTTCTACCATCCATCTATTAATAGAGTACCGGCATCATTTGTTTAACTTTGTATCGAGACCTGAGGATGCTTTGCATATTGTAGAAAGCGAAACCGGTCGTCTGATAGTTAAATTAAAGTGATTGTTAGTAAGTCTTATTTATTATTTCTTTACCTATTTGAAATGGACTCACACAAGCAACACATTCATGATTTAAAACACTTCTTTTGTAAGTGGTCTTAAATTTAAAATCCAAATGAATTAAAAAATTCTGAAGATTTGGCACAGCTGAATATTACTTTAACCTCGCAGTGAAATATCGTACGACCTATGAAGTTTTATTTCGTAATTGTACTGACGAATCATTAATCATTTGTTGTTAAAGCCGATATGCTACCAAAGGGCGGCGATGACCTTAACCATTACGAGGCTTTGGACGATTTTACCCTTGAGGCTTTGGTCCTTTATGCAAAACATATAAATTGAAAGTAGGTATTGATGCTTATTGAGGAGAAATTCTAAAGCTATAAATCAATAAATTTTATGTCTTAAAATTTAATACAGGATGATTCAGTGAAAAATGAGCAAGTTGGTTCTCATGCCCATATTTAATGTATTTTTTATTTCTTATAGCCAAGATACACGGTGATTTTCCATTTTATTTTGTTCTTTAATTTATGATTTGTTTACGAGCCTGAGTGTATACGTATTGTTTGCATGCTTCCTGTATATGTTGTTTGTCTAGTATTTAACCCTTCTTCTTCTTCTTTCTTCTCGTATGTAGGCTTTAAAGCCTGTTTTTTCTTCAATAGTAGCCTCCTAAATTGTTTAATTGTCGCACCATCTTTTTCTTGGTCTGCCAATACTTCTTTGTCCATTCGGTAACTTATCTCGTGTTATTTCTACTATTCTATCCTCTGCCATTCTACTGATGTGTTCGTTTCACGTCAGTTTTTGTTTTGTCACCCATCCATTTGTGTCTTCTATATTGCATGCTCTTCGTATGTTTTCACTTATCTCCCTATTTAACAGACTTTTCCCTGATACTCGTCGGAGTATTTTTATCTCTGTTGTTTCTAGTAGTCGTCACCTCTTAGATGTATCAGGTCTTGTCTCCACCGTGTATGTTAATATAGATCTAATTGCTGCTTTATAGATGTTTTTGTGTCTTGTCTTAGGTGTTTATTCTTCCAGATTGTGTCATTAAGAGATCCCGCCGCTTTACTTGCTTTTAGGCTTTGTTGTCGTACTTCTTCTTCAACGTCTCCGTAACTAGTTATATCTATTCCCAGATATCTAAACCTTGCTTCCTGCTTTATTATTTTCCCATCAATTTCAATTTTACACCGTAGTGGGTATTTAGATGTTGTCATACATTTGGTTTCTTCTGCTGATATTATCATATTGTATTTCTTAGCTGTTGTATGAAGATATGTCAATCTTTGGAGCTCGTCTTCTATCTCGACGATTAATTCGGCGTCCGTCGTCTGCATAACATAATATTTGGATTTCTTTATTCCTCATTCTGTAGCCATGACCTTTACGTACCGCTTGTATCATTTCGTCCATTATTGTATTAAAGAGAAGTTGACTTAACGAGTCACCCTGTCTGACTCCGCTTCCTCCTGGTATACACTGTGTTAGTTTTCCATTTATCTTTACCAGTACAAATACGGCATCTACGCAGGATCTTCCGGATCTGAATCCTTGTTGTTCATCTGATAAAGTTGTTAGTTTATTGATTTTGTTGGTTAGGACTTTGGTGGTAAGCTTAAGTGCGGTGTTCAGTAGATTTATACCTCTATAATTGTTGGGGTCTTCTTTATCTCCTTTCTTGAACATTGGTATTATTATGCTGTTTCTCCATGCGTCTGGTATCTTGCAGTGCAATATTAGTTTTTGTATAAGTTTTGTCATCTCTAGGGTTATACTTTCTCCTCCGTGTCGTAGAAGCTAGTTGGTTATTCCGTCTGTTCCTGGTGACTTTCTATTTTTGAGTGAATTTATGGCTATTTCTACTTCCTGAAAACTGATTTCTTTTTCGTGTCTTAATTCAGGTTCGTTATTGTGTTAATTATTTTTCTTTGCTTTCAGTTCCGACAAGTATCCTTCCCATTCGTTTGCTGGTATGTTATTGTACCTTCAATTCTGCCATTTCTTTCCGTTAGTTTCTTATGAATCTGCATATTTGTTTTTGTGTACCGTTGAAGTGGCTTTCCATCCTTTTTGTAAACTGTTCCCAGTGTTCATTTTTTATTCTTCTTACCAACTGCTGTGTTTCATTTCGTATTCTTCTATAGTTGTCTTGGAATTCTGATGTATTTGATATCTTATACTTTATGTAGGCCTCTCGTTTCTTTTTACATTTCTCTTTTATTTTTTTAATGAACCATGGTGTATTGTTGTTGTTTCTTTTGTTCAGTATGACTTTGCGTTGTCCTAGAGCTTCTGTTGCTGCTTTTTCAATGTTGTTTACAATTTTCTCCCAGCTTGCGTTTATATCTTCGATGTCGTCTATTTTTTTCAGCTGTATCTTCTGTATATTACCCAATAGCGTATAAATAAAAGGTAAAATCCAGGTACAAACAAAAAAGAAATAATTTATTTCAAGCCAAATCCGGTATATCAGAATTTAAAGAATATAAATAACTGCAAGAGTAAGTCGACAATTAGGATGATAGTGAAGATGATTGTGATGTAAATGATATTAAAGACTTGAATAATAATGTAGATTTAGAAAATATAGATATATCAAATATGGTATTTGAAGATGAGCTGACTTCTTTATAAAATAGTTATACAGGGTTTCCCATAATTAATTGGCCATTAGCTAATGGGTGATAGCTGATCAAAATAAAGCGTTTGAGCTCAAATTGCTTAGGCAAAATGTTGCTAGTTTTTGTTCTACAGGGTGATTCATTATTATTTTTTATATCATTTTTAGGGATATATTGAAAACAATTTAACCGATTTAAGTGAAATTTGGTATCTTGCTATTACTTAGTAGGTATGCTTAATATGAAAATGATATTAATTTTTGCATTGACACTAGGTGGCGCCACTTTCCATAAAATTGGTTCAGTACTGCGGTCATAATTTTTTTGTCCGCCCTGTATAAACATTCTAGGAAAAAAACATGAAATACCATTCAATTCTACACAAAAAAGGTATTCCTGTTTTAAATAAAAAAAGTACACCGTTTTCGAAATAAACGAATTTGGTTAATGATCCGAATGTCTGAAGTTAATTTTTCGCAAAACAAACAGGTACCTAGGTAAGCTGTGAACTTAATAACAAAGTCAAGGCGTAAGTACGAATTTGTTTACTATTTGTTGTCAAAGTGCAGTGCGAGTCTATTACAGTAGACTCGCGATTATCCGAGTCTAGGTTATCCGAGCCCCTCGGTTAACCGAGGCAAAACTTTACCTTGGCAAGCAAGCAAGCAATTTGATTGAACCCAGCCTATGAGACATGTTCACCCAGGTAGTACGATCGGGTGTAACAATTCATTGGAGCAAGGTGTTTTAATTCGTGTTTAAAAACAGGAATCACCCCACCGTGCTCCAATGCTCTAGACCATCCCTTTCCCCCCTATAGCAATCTGATTCGCTATAGAGGCACAACGATCAGCCAAGTGCTCTTCATGTGGAGGTCCTGGGTAATTGAACCCCAACATGGTTTCCTAACCGTATGTGAAAACTCAGGACAGCGCATCTCCGCTTTATTCCTGTTTATCTTAATGCAGCTTATCCGCGAACTAAAATTGCTTACTTGGGCCTCAAGTCTCCGCTCTGAGTCCCGGCTCAGCTCGGCGACTTGGTGCTCAAGGGGGTTGGGCCCTACGTGCCCGGGTTTTGGGGTTTTTGTTAGTTTTTTTGGTGGCCGAAGCCGGTTTTTGTTAGTGTTTTTTAATTTTTTTGGTGGCCGAAGCCGTTTTTTGTGTTTTTTTTTTTTTATTTTTTTTGTAGGTCACCTGTGAAAAGAAAAGTCATAATT